TGTAGTTACTGACCTGTAGTTACTGACCTGTAGTTACTGACCTGTAGTTACTGACCTGTAGTTACTGTCATGTGGCTAACAGCTGACAATATGCCGCTATTAGCTGTACGTGAACTGTAACACAGTCAGTGTTGAAATGATGAAGTAACGTTATCACTTCCTCACAGAGAGCAGCTCGTCTGCGTTAACGCAACAATGTCAGCTGACGCTAATCCGCTACTTTGCAACCTAACGTTACGTTAATGTTGCCCAACAGCGGACAGTTAGCTTCTCAACTACGGACTGTAAACAAACATAGCGGGTCAACTTCTGACTGCGGATTGACATCATATGTAGCTGAGGATTTTTATTAATCACATTGTATCAACACTGTCTGCCCAGGCAGGCTAACTTGACACGGTGATTTAGATAATGCCATAAGGTACAGCTGGTGAGAAGTCCTGTCTGTGTGTACTGTGTTAGCTACCAACGGCTAACGTTGGATACCAACGGCTAACGCTAGCTACTAACGGCTAACGTTGGATACCAACGGCTAACGCTAGCTAACGTAGCTAGGCCACAGCAATGTTGAGCTAACATGGCGTTAGCACGAACAGTTCTGTCACTAACGGGAGCGGGGCCATACACCTCTCGCATTTACTCACTAGAGAGCTTTTAGTACAGACATACCTCTCCAGAGACCCCAGTGGAAATAGGTATTCGTGGCTGGACACGAAATACGGCTGTTGTTTCTGTTGCCAAACCCCAAACCGATAAGACGATGACACCAACGTAGCTTTAGCTATCGCCAGCAGGGGGGAATGACGCTTCCGGTTTTCTTCTTCGTTTGTGTCGTAGCGGTTGAAACGTGACATAGAAAGCGCGATAGTGAAACACGCTGATCTGGAATAATCACTCAAAAAGTCTGATAATATCGAATACATATCATTAGCCTTGAATACATTTTTTTTTTAAGTAGTCTACATCTGTAGTCTTTTAATCACCAAAGCACCACAGACTTTATTACTCTGTGTCTATTCTGAGGACACTTTCTGCAACCATAGAGGCCCTCTTGCTTTGTGCTGCTGCATAACGTTTCTTGTGGTTATATTTGTTAGCCAAAGCTTAAAAGAAAACATAGATTGAAATACACAAAAACATTCTATAAGGCCTTTTACTTTAAGCAATTTTATTTCCACCACAAGTTGCATAACAGTTTGAAAATCATTTCATCAGGGATTTGCAGTTGACAAAATACAATTATACAAAACATTAAAGAGGCACTTCTCTAATTTTAAACATCAAGGTTAGTTAACTCATCATAGAGAGTATGACTATGGAAAAAAATGTGTATTTGTTTCTGTCGCTCTGGGGCAAGCGTATATGTCTAAAACAAGGGTTGTTTTGGCTTGGGACTGGAAAGTACACATTTTGGGATTGTGCAAAACATGGAAATTTACAATAGCCTACAAGGATGATCTAAGAAAATATGCTTTTGTGTAACATCATGGCAAATGTATATCCAGTGTTTTTCCAGTGTTCTGAAGTATGGGTCGAGTCCCAGCTTCAGAGTAAAAAAGTCCCAGGTTCTGCTGCTTCGATTTTGAAGATTCATTAAAATATATTTCTCTTGCGAGTCCCCCAACTTCATACAAGTGCAATACTAAATTGTTGGATGGCCCCTTTAAAAACAACATGATATGTCTGCAGATCTTCTGACATGCTACAATGACTCATTCATGCTAATTCACTGCCATTACCAGAACTGGAAATAACACCTGTGCAAAAGAACTATTTGAACTGTAAAAACAATTTGACACAACAAAGGTTTATCATCCTAACCTTGACCAAACATATTTACAAGGGCAGTTGAGAACAATTAGAAGCCTGTGCCTTAAGTAGTGCTTGCAAGGTTTTAAACATTAAAAGTTGAACCAGCATCAAAATGTATTTTTAGTGGCTGCTTCCCTGTTGATTCCTAAGTGACTGAAGAGCTGAGTGGTCAGTGGTCATTGTGGGTTCTTGCAGCAGCTGAACTGTACGCTCCTTCTCCTCAACTTCTCGGGCTGGAGAGACGCGAGGAGAGAAAATTCGCGAAAGACATCAACACAGGAGAAGTCACCTGCAACAAGGGATACTGAAGTCAAAGGGGGAGTTTGTCCCACTGCTGGGCACCGTGGAGACCGCAGTGACCATTCTGCTGAATTTTGCTTTCCTTTAACATCAGTGAGTAACACACCAAGCATTTTAAATAACATGACAGAAAGGCAATAACCCAGAAAATACTGCAATCTCCAATATTTCACTGTTCAGGAAGAAAGAAAGAGCAGGTAAAACATGAAATGAAAGCGCAAAGCATCAAGATGGAGTGAAGCTTCTCAGTCTGTCAGGATATACTATATGTGACTCATTCTTATTTTTCTTATTTTATGCACATTTTCTGAAAGATTATCCTTGTAAATGGTTCGTTTTCAGAACAGAAAATCAGGAACTTGCAGGGAAGGAGTGGTTAGCATCCTGTCCATTCCTCTCCTACGTCATCCTGGGATCAGTTCATGTGCTTAATATTCTGACTTACATTTTATAATATGAAGTGTGTTTAACATACTTACCCATTCTATGTGAAATAGTACCTACTATATAGTGCGTGGTAGCTGCGCCTCTAAACATCTTTTTCTGAGGACACAATGCTAATATTACCCTTAGAGACAAAAACAATTCCAGACACCACCATATATTCTCCCAGTGTGTGTGTTTCTGTGCAACAGAGAAGGCTACAGAGCAAGACACCTTAAAGATCACAACCACCAGAGAAGAGAGAATCACAGTATCACACTGATTCCCAAGTAAGACGGCCCAGGATGCTTCACTCACTCTATCCCGAACATCAGTGGGTTTAACTCTCCTGCTGCCCGTGGCAACCCCTGTGGTAACAGAAGCAATGATAGGTCAGTCAGTGTTTATTCCTCAAGTGGAAATGTGCTGTTTGCCTCAAATGTAAAGCGTGGAATTAGACATTTCTGACGTGTGAGAACATTTTTCAATGATGGTGCAACAATGCTGGTGAGATCACATAAATCTTTTACACGCTGGATACACTGAATTATTCAAGGCACAGTGTTGATGCTGCAGGCTACAAACTGAGGCACTGTTTGAAACACACAAGACACTAAACACTAAAGTGATCTTTAATTTATTGTCAGTCTTGAGTAGGGTGACCAGGTGTCCCACTTTATGTGGGACTGCACAGCATTTTTATCCATTGTTTTCAAAAGTCAAATCACTGCATGACAGATGTTTTCCAAAATCAGTTTTTTATCCACTAGCTGTGAAAAAAGCAGGGATGGTTGTCACCATGGGGCTGTGTTTGATGTCAATGCAACCACGCTCACATGGGTCAAGTGCTGGTTAACCCATCTTTGCTATGCCCAATGGGTAAAATTGCAAGTCACCACAAAGTCAGACAGCTATGCAGATTTAAGCAGAATATGATAGAAACTACTACAAAGAAAAGGAAATGCAGCTACAAAAAACACTAGGAAACTACTTATAACTGGGTGAAGTCGGTGGAAGATGACTATTGCAGACTATGGCATAAGGCCATAATAAAAACTGTGAAACTCGAAAAGCTTCTTTTTATGCTTACTGTATTTACTTACTACGTATGAGGTGGGAAAGTTGCATTCAAATAAATTTGTTCAATCCTTCAAATGCTAAAAGCCAAACCTGTATGCTACTAAATCATCTAAAGGGCAAAGCATAGAGATTTTACGAGCTAAAGGGCAGAATACCTCTCCACACTGGTAACGTGTTCCACATTGTCCCACAAAAACATACTCTTTGTCCCACATTAAGTTTGTTGGAATCTGGTCACCCTAGTCTGGAGATGTCTGAGTTTATGTTTATCATGAAGGAAACCATTTTATTGCTTTGAATAAGCCAAGTGCTACCCAAAAGTTTGTTATAGACCAAAAGACACCAGATCAGATTGTAATAAAATAGCATTCTCCCAACATCTGACAATGTTCATACATATATATGTATAATATTTATCCATTGATCATTTTGAGCAACTATTTTCGATATTTTCAAATAAATTGCTGCAATGTTGAAAGAATGTTATGCATAAGAGATGAGACAGGAAACAGAAATCAGAGCAACAAGCAGGAAGCAGGGTTAGTTCATCAAGAGTTTATCAGTTTTATTGTATGCAGTTTGTTTTCTTTTTTCCCCCTCAGTGCTTCTAAAGACAAAGAAGAAAGTATTCCAAAGATATCCAAATGTCAGTGAACAGAAGAACGCCTCCAAGTAGTGCAGAACTGTGTTACAGTTTTGACTGACAGGTTGTTGTTTTTTTTTCTTTTTGGAAGAGAATAAAAAGACAAACATAAAACAGATCAGACAGTCAGGATCTGTGATTGAATGCTGAGAGGCAGACAGTTGGCGTTGAGTTAAAATACACAAGTGTACTATTTACATCATGTTTGCTTTAAACAGCACCTTTAACCACTCCTATGTCAATACACACAATGGACACAACATTTAATACGTCCGCTAGGGCGAGGGCCCTTAACAGTTTGGTCACAGTAGCATCACATCACCCCCTAGACTGGTTCTACTTGCAGTACATTGAACTATTGCAGATTATCACCTGCCATATCAAAATCTCTCAGGTCTGTCACATTTCTGTAACCTCTTTTGAACAAATGAGTACACCAACAGTGTTTCTACCACTCTGTCACTTCACAAAGCATGGTAAGACTATGTTGTATCTACTCTTAACAGTTTCAGTTTTTTAAAAAACAAACCAAAAAAATGGTGATATTACACAGCAATGTCAGAAACTTTCCCTTTAAAAAGTCTTTGGCAGAGAAAAATAAACTACAACATTAAAAATTACTGGTCGCAAGCTTTTGTGGAAACAAAAAAAAGACAAGAATGAGGAAGTCACCACAGATTTAATCTGTGGATGGAAGAATGGCACAGAGGTGCAAAAAGTAAGAAACACCAGAGGGGTCATGGTGGTACATGCTTATTCCACAGGACTGCACTGCACGATGTGAACAAACCATAGAAAGATATTTTATCATGCTCAGAATGCAAACGATGTTGAACCTCCCAAAAACAATTCTGGCAAAGCATGCAGAGAATACTGTAAGCATTGACCAGTGAGGGAAGCCAGATATATAAGTCCTTTGACCCCTCAAGTGTGTAAACTGTTCTAAAGACATGTGCTCCTTCATCTCACCACAAGATATTGTAACATGGATGAATATTTACAACAAAATGGAGGTGTTGTGAATCACTTTGTATAGTGAACAGAAGAACTGTTTAAGGGAGAGATATGAATCCAGTTTTATACATTCCCTCCCTACACTGCGAACTTGCTGCTCTGGTTTGTCTGCCCTTCAGTTTGACAACTAGGCAAATTTTAATCCTCACTAGTTACGCAATGGATGTCAGATGAATAAAACAGTACATTGTAACTAGAGTCTGTTACCAGAGAATCTCTTTTAGTGGTGTGTTTAAATACCAATAATCATACTTCAATGTAAGGCCACTCCACAGGGAAAATGAAAGCAAGTCTTTTATGAGTGCTATTACATTGCGTAATCTAAATACTGTCATAAATTCCATGTAATGCTTTCAGAACAAAATGACACAATCGTTAACAGAAATGTGGAAGTAGACTGCATCAAAGAATGCATTGCACTGGTCCTCTGGGGAGATAAACATAAATAAAATAAGACAATAGGTAGACAATAACTTGACACTTGACAATGACTAGACAAGAACAATGTAAAAACGAACTGAATGAAAATAAAACAAAATTATAATACTGTAGATGGGAAAAGTGCAGTTTCTTTTTTTTCTTTTACATAATGTATCATAATATAATACGATTTAACTCTGTCTCTCAGTATTCTTTGACACATGCCCTCATTTACTCTCCTGTCCACTCACTCACTCACTCACTCACATCACAAAGTATCTTACAAAGCAGGCAAGGGTCTCTTCTCCACAAGCCCTTCAGTATTTTTGTCACAGTTTTACATTAAATTTCCCTTCCTGATCCCTCTTTATACACAGTAAACAGCACTGCCCACCTCTACTCTAGCTTGTCAGTTACTCTTTTTCTTTTAGCAATGGAACAGTACCATTTTTTCACCTCATGCCACAGCACATAGTTTAAAGATTACCCATATAACTTCTAAATATGTATATTTACATTTCCGATTAAGAAGAGATGGGTAAGTTGGATGTCACACAGGTGAGTCTGGATATATATAAAGTGTAGGGGGTTAATGCAGCGAGATTCTTTAGAAGTAAGAGCTGCTAGTCAACAGTAAACCCGCACCCTTACACAAGAGGTTACACCATGTTATGATAAGTTAAAGGACAACCCCGTTAGCAAAACACCAAAAAGCAGATGTCATTTTACTGTGTGTGTGTCATGTAGCTAGCATAGCATGGGTGGTGCCGAGTAATGGCAAGCAGTGGTGATGCAGAAAAATGGAGTGTAGTGTCAGTATAGTTAAAAAGGTCCATCAGGGGTCTCCCCAGACAACGCCCCTCATAATGAGTAAGTGGTACGCTCTTCTCTCCTCAGACAACCTCAAGAAGTTGCCCGTAAGCCTAGATCTACGTAAGTAACAGACTTGAGATCAGTGTCTAGGGGCGACTTTAGGAGGAATATATATATTTATATATATGTATGGAGAGAGGGAGAGAGCACGAGCTATGCTCCTGGACACAGAAGTGACCCCTAGCATTCCTCTATTGTGAGGCAGATGAATTCCTGGATGCACTTCCTATACTGCTGCTCAGTGGGGCTGCTGCTGTGGTATTGACCTGGTTGACCCAAGGGAGCCTCCGCTTCTCGCATTTCCTCGTTCATCCGCGCTAGACGCAACCTGGAAGGAGAGACAAAACGTGGGAGCATAAATGAGAAATGGGTTAATAAGGGGACAGAAGGCAGGTGAGAAAAGACAGAAATAAACAGGGAGAGACAGGAGTGAGACATTGAGGTGGCAGGAGAGCGTGAGAATGGAAATGTGGTGAGAAGCAGCAAGTGAGATAAACCACAGTGGAGGAAAGTGAAGACAACAATGAGGGATACAATTGAAAATGTATTTTGTCCCATTAAATAACAGTTAGATATTTAAGCTCTTTCTTGAGGATGGAAACGGTAGTTTGACAAAATTAGCTTTTTTCTGAGCTTTCAACTGAGATGATGTTGAAAAGCTAATAGGTAGACCCTGCGTAAAGATTATTTTGTCAAACATTTAAGAATGTTTTATTCTATCACAGTGCATTTTGAGTGAAAACACAGCCTGGAGCAGTATAATCCTGTAGTCACACGTGCATCCCATATTACCAATAACATGAGATCTTTGAAAAAACTGATTATCAGATTTCTAGCTTGTTACTTGTTGAAGGACAGGATCTACTACTTTTGATTAGTCCTAAGTCATTTTAACCAACAGTTCTCGAGCATGAATGGTTGGCACCAATGTATTAATGTTCATGAGGAACTCGCTCATGCGACTAAAAAGGTATTTGTGAGGATTACTCACAGGGTGACAATGTCTGCATTGGCAGCCTGGACAGCGATACTTAGTGGGTCATGACCCTGCTCATCCACCTCCGTCTGCGACGCTCCTCTCTTCAGGAACAGACACACCTGACTGTACATAACAAAATGCAGACACAAAGAAAAGAGGTGAATATAAGAGTTATTGATAAACCATAAGAGGTGTAATGTGAAAGATTATATAATGGAGCATTAAATTCATATAGAATAATTAGCAGAAACATCGGAAGAGCAGATCAAGCGGACGGATATGAAATAATCCAATTCACTGATTTGTCTACGGGGGCTGCTTCAATGGAAATTTGTCTGTGAGCAGCTGCAGTGAAGAATCCAACAGAAACGCCTACGGCTTCTGCATTTTATTCTTATTACATTCAGGCTGGGACATGTACCAGGAGCTACCCTGTTTCTCACCCTGTGTGTCCCAGGTAGGTGGCATGGTGCAGTGGGCCTCTGCCTCTCATGTCCCTCTGGTTCACATCGGCTCCGTTCTGTAGCAGGAACTCACAAGCTATCAGAGAGCCCTGATAGACGGACAGACAGACAGAGTTGTTATGTTAGTGTACTTGCTTTGAGTCTCATAATTGGCCTTTTTGTGATGATGATTTATGGCTGTGGATGTTGTTCATGACTGTGTTTATGGTATCATAAAATCTAGGATTGTAATCTTTAGCAGTTTAGCTGTTTTAATTTTTTAACCCAGACAGACTCCATGTAGTATTTATGGCAATGGCAATAAAAGGTTCAGTAATTCACTTTTAATCGTTCACTTCCTGTCAAACAGTGCACAGTAAACACGGTATCTCACCCCGATCACGGCCTGAATGAGTGGCGTTTTCCCCTCCTCCTCCTCACTAGCAGTGTGTACGTCAGCCCCGTGCGCCAATGCCTCGGCCATGAGAGGCAGGTTGTGTAGACGGGAGGAACGGTGGAGGAGCGCCCCGGGGTGCAGCTCTCTCGGGTCTTCAGGGTCCGAAGACACTTCCTGTTCGATCTCTACCTCACCACTGGAGGACTCCTCTGACTCCTCCTCTGAGGGTAGGTAAGGTAACAGGAAAATGGCAACGATTAAATTAAATAGGAAAATATCTAAAACTCTCAGAGGGAATGTAGCCTGGTTTCATTTAGGTAATCAGGTAAATTGTTTAGGCTGCTCCTGTCAATACACAAGGCCAATTTATTTTTAAAAAAATTCAACACACATTTAGTTGTATTTCAGGTTTCTGCGTTCCCATAAAAACTCCTTTATATTCTAAACAATATGATGATGTTCTTGCGTCAGCTAACATACCTTCTTCTGTGACGCTGTCCACCACTGAGCCAAAAACCAGGATGTCTGTGCTGCCATCAGTACTTCCTCCCAGGCCGCTGTCGCTGCTAAGACCTGCAGGGCCAAGCATCGCCAAGCCACGGACACGTTAATGATTACACAGCACATACTGCTCATACACCCACCACCATAACTGCTACAATTAATCGAAAACATGTCAGAAATTCCAAAATGAACCTCCGTTTGTGAGTTCTTCTGTTCCTACCTGCATCTTCTGCATCTGAAAATCTACAGCAATATTGCAAGTGCACTGTGCCTGTATGCAGTGACTGTGTAGTGGACTTACTGCGAGGACCAGAGCCAGTGTCAAAGTAGGAAAATAGCGAATCCAGCTCATCTGGACAGAACAGGGAGTCCCGGCGAAACTTTGCTGCAGCTGCTGCCGAAGGACAAAATATCAAGATTTCAGTCTGGGCTTCAGACTGTATCGGTACAATATCTTTCAGCTATTGGTTTTAAGAGCCTTGTGCTAACGTTTATGACAACAGAGAAGTTCATTCTCCATACGCACCCGCTGAGAGGTTTGCAGGTGAAGCGTTGCCTGGCTCGTAGCGATGGTATTTCCTGCGAGCCTTGTTGGGGGCCCGAACAGAGCTGTTGTGTCGATGGCACTTCTTCACTGTCCAGGGCCGGGACTTCCTTTCACCCTCCACCAGTGCCTCGCTTCCACTCATCTTCTTCAGGAAGCGTTTCTCCACGTATTTAGACTTGATCCAGGCCTCTTTCTCCTGTCTGGAGGTAATCACAAACATGACAGATAATTGGGTGCATCCTGGCGAAGACATGTATTTTTAACCTAACTGAATTGAGAGTGGTGTCAAAATGTAGTCACAATGCTCTATTTCTTTGCCAAATGCTCCTCCTGTCAAGACTGACCTTGAACTAGACGGTCCTGGTTTTTTCGCTCCCAGCTCCTCGCAGGATCCCTCATAAATTTGGTTGATCACAGTGTTCCCCAGTTCACACATCAGCTAAATGTGAGAGAGGGAGAAGTTCAATATTCACTAAAGGAAATATAAATGAAACTCTGGTGGTTAAAAAAAAAAGCACAGCACAGAAAGGAGAAGCTGTAGGCTAATGTGTTGGGAAGACGCACCTTGAGTAATTCTGGCTCCCACGAGTCTAACGTCAGTGAACGCACTTTAGAGCAATGGACACCTAAACTCCTGAAAGAAACAAGCAGAAAAAGGGATTTTACAAAGAGCTACTGTGAGCTACAAACAACCATGTCTTATTGATAAAAATCCACACTGGTCACTTCAAATCCAGTTTGGCCGCCTGCAGATTGTCATCTTGTTATGGTTTCACAAATGCTTTTTTTTTTTAAACTACATAATAGATATCTTGGTAACTGCTGCTGCATATTTTCATATAAAGGAAAGTGGACTTGATATGAATAACATGTGATGCTTCAGTGCAGATGTTTGCTCATGTGATTTGCATAAATGAAACAGAAAAAAACATGATCACTCGGGCAGACAGTGGCCAATCAGAAAGGAGGTCAATGTGAGGCTGGCATCACCACCTAAATTGTTTTAAGCTGCTACACCTTGCTATGGTATTTCAAACTGACAAAACCAGTTCAGTGAGAGTAAGTGACACAACTTACATAACTTATAAAGGTTGTGTGTGGTTTTTTCTGGCTCTTAACAAACTCTCTTGAACTGTTGGGGTAGGTATCATTAGAGAAACTAGCAAGATACAGCTACATTGTGAAGTATCCAATGGAAAAAATCCCACCCTTCCTTTTAAAGTTACTCCACCAACAGTGCAGCAGTGAGCGCACGGGCAGAGATCCAGGTAGGTAGACAGGCAGTAGTGGTAGTGGTAAGCCAGTAAATCATTTTCATTTCAGTGACACAGAGTGTTTGATTCATTGATTGCTATCTGGATATGAAAAGAATTTTAAGATATGCATTTTAAAAATGGCTTCTAAAGTACATTACCCTAACTATAAGTGCAGTTACCTGTGGATTCCTGAGCACTCGATGCAGAGCAGCACTCCCAGGTTGATGGATGCCCAGCAGGGCGCCGTTTGGCCGCAGTCACAGCACAGCTCGTTCCCTGGCAGGCTCTGCACCCTCTGGAGGAGGCTTTCCCCACCTCCCCGAACCCCCCTATCAGCCCTCTCTCTGGGCTCGCTGGCAGAGTCGATGCTGCTGGTGGAGGGCGAGGCTGTCCGGTCCAAACGCTGCAGAGACAGGTGGACAGGTCAGAGGTTCTGAAGCTACCTGGGACCAGTTTGTAATGAAAAGAAATTACATTTGTGTGTTATCACAAGACGGTTGCTGTACGTGTTCATACCTCAATGTAGTAATTGTCGGCGATGTCTTTGTAAGCAGAGGCGATGCTTGCCTGGACTGCCTGGATCCAAGCCTGCCGCAGCTTCTCAGACTCAGCCTGCAGCATACAGCTCCTGCAGGTTTATAGATGCATGTTATATAATACCTGTTCACAACTGTCTATAGGAATGCTCTAAAGCTACATGGTTATTTGCTGATGAGTAAATGATGTAGTCAATGTAACAATTGATTTCCACAGTGAAAATCACAAAGCGCAACAAAACCACACACACACACACACACCCACACACACTTACTTAGTGGGTGAAACCACCTCAAAGCAGAACCTTCTCTCATTATCTTCACATGGTTTGACTGAGCACAGCCTCAGGTCCTCCACCACCACCGTCAAAGAGTCCTGGCATTGGCAGAGAGGAGTGTCACAACAACTCTGCCCTATGTACTGCAAGCTACTCAAAGCATTTTAGTCTGGCTAGGTAGGGACAGTGCATGACCCCATTCCTCTCCACCACCATGCAAAGTATTAATAACTGGACTAAAAAAAAACACCAAACATACCTTGAGTTTCTTTTGGTAGACCAGTTGGCTGTTTTGTATAGAAAACCACCGCCTTGAGGAGGGAAGAAGGAATTAAGTTAGACAGTTTTTGTGAGACAGACATGATCAATCAAATGTCTACATGCTGATATTGGCCCTGCAAGGAAAAAGCACCGTCCATTACAATGGTGAATAATAAATCTATAGATGAGCACTAAGTGATTCTTGGAATGAGGCGAAGGCCATTCTTCTTTCTTATCCAAGCCACTTTTTAAAGAACAAGTCATGCATACAGAAAACAGGGAGTTCAGAACATTAATCCCTTAATCTATGAACCCTGTGTTCCTGATTAACTCATTAGATTGTATTAAGGAGTCTTTTGAATTGTAAGTTGATCTTTGTTATGCTCTCCGTCTTCACTTCTATTTTACCTGTTCCAGGTCTTGAAAGCGTTGCTGGCTCTCTTGAAGAGGTAGCCCTCCATGACCACACCATTGGGTGCATCCACATTGAATTCCAACTTGGGGTCATCGTAAGAAAAGTCCTGTAGGGCGAACACAAAGGCACACAAGATCAATGTTAGTTTTCCTGACGTGGTTTGTTCCTGTAGATACGCTCTTTGCTCCTGCTCTGCAAAAACAACACTACTGTCACCATCAAAAACGACAGGAGTCATCCGTTCAGCTCTACGAATCATAGCCGTATTTTATGATGGCTGACATTTTTCCCTCAAATGTGTCTTTAAAAATTCCCATCATGCTCATATGTACTTTGAAAGAGTTACTAGTGGCTGTAATCAATTCCTGTCATTTTTCCTGTCCATACTGGCTGCGAAGCCTTTGCTTTCCTAAAGAGACTCCAACGTAAGGGATAGTCAAAAAAAGTGTAGAAATTCACTGTAAAGCTCAGCTGAGGCTAAAGTAAGGCTGAACACATTGCACAAAGATTACATCAGGTGACACTGTGGAGCAATATGTGTAAAAGTCCACCTTAAGATATCAAGAGATAGTGCCTTATCAGCACCACATACAGTAGCTGTGCTGACACAATGCTACTGCTCCACAATTCCTCTGCTATGTGTTTGTGTTCCTCCACAAAAATCAAGCTCTAACCTCTCCACACTGGCCATCTGTTCATACGTTTGCCTTTAAAGAATACATCAAATCCGCACCTCTCTACCTGTTAACTAAGAACGTCTCTATTTGTTTGTCTGCGTTGTCCACACAGAGCTGGATGTCAAAAGAAACAAACTGAAAGCCAAATGCCACCTGCTCTGCGAGATGAACAACACAGATTTAAAGGTTAGGTTTCACTATTGTTAAGAGGCCTTTGGTTGTTTCAGGTAAGGTTATACTGGGCAAGCTGTACACACACACACACACACACACACACACACACACACACATAGACGCACACTCTCATTGTTGTATCACTTCTCTATAAAAGATCATTAAATAATATAATTGCACACTGATGTCATCATGTACTGACGGTGCCCTGGTATAGCAACATGTGAAACTAAAACTAGAATATAGCTGCTATATTTCAAGCAACATATTTTATAATAACATATAATATAAAAACTCTATAGATTTGTGTGAAAACCTTCTGGCCATGTAAAGCATACACATGGTGACACAGCAGTCTGTCTCCCTGCTGGCTGATGATGCATTCAGAGCTCAGAGGTGTTTCCTCCAAAGAAACAACACAGACACTAGATTCTAAAGGAGCATTATGCAACAGACAACTGGATAGACTCAAAGTCCATATTTATCAACTCTGAGGAAAACACTTTAAATTCCACATAGGCCTAGTTGAACAAAAAAAAACATTAGAACACGTCTGAAGACACAACACTATTACTATCTATTACTATCTGACATATAGCAAACCTCTGGCTGCCATGACCCTAACAGCCCCAGTTTGTGGTTTAAGCTTTTGTATTAAATGTGGCCTAATTATCACTGTAAAAACTAATTTGTAAAATAATAGTTCACTTTATGAGCTCGGTCAGTGACAAACAGACTCAAAGCTAAAGAAAACTCGAAATAAATGATGCTCCTCACCAGTGTGTAGTCCAGCCTGCCAAATATCTTCATCTTAACCACACTGACATCCAACAGCATCTCAAACTCAGTGAGAACAGATTCACTTAATAAGAAATAAATAAATAAATAATGCGTCAATAAATAAATAGATGCTCGTCGGAGGGAAGAGACCATCTATACAATGTGTAACTTGGTGCTGCGGAGGAACCGGGAGAAACGCACGCGCATCCAACACGAGTCCGGATGAGAGACTGTCACAGCCAACCGCAGCGCGCTCGTGGCGTTCCTCCACTCAATGCCACCTGTCGACTGGTCCGGCCGCGTGGATCTGGCGCGAGCTCTCATTATCATACAGCTGTCACAGGGTCCTCGTGCCCCGCTGACCCCGTCGCGGCTGCCGTACATCAAACGTTTCATTTTACAGCCTCCTCCCAGCCCCGCGCCGCGATTTAAGGCTCCTCTCTGGGTATTCTGAAGGCCGGGGGGCTTCACCCTCACTTTTGGGGAAGTCAGCTTTCCATCTGTCCGCGGCTCTCAACACTATTCCTGCTTAATCAAGCTGACATTATTGCTCCCCAAACACCAGCCCGGAGTCCCCTCTTCCCACCTTAAATCAGCCAGGGCCACGGATTGCAGCGCACAAGTGTCCAATGCAGCGGCTACAAAGCGGCCTGTATGAAAACCAGGGGCCCACAAAATATGTTTGCAGAATGGATTATTCTCATATATGTTAAAATACATGTGAGCAGTGGTAAAGAAAGTAACCTAAAGTACCCAATGCAGAAAAATGTCCCCCCTCTGACTGTTATACTATTAAATATCATTAGATTGTTAATGCATTAATATAAAAGCAGCATTTCACTGCTGTAGTTGAGTTGAAGGATATTTTTAACTATTTTGTAAAGGACTGCAATTGATGATTTTTTAAATTAGGGATAAATCAATTGATTGTTTTGTGTTTAAGTAAATGTACCCACTGACATTGCACCACTGTCTGTGAGACTGTCAGAGATTTTGATTCACATTGTCAGTTTTATTATTTTACTAGACACCATGATTTGCATATAACACAGTGATTTGCATATAACACAGTGATTTGCATATAACACAGGCCTGGGTGAACCAAAAACCTGATATACCTGTTTAATAACACACTCCAGCACAATGCAGCCTCCTTATATTGTGTCTGGGATAGGCCTACAGTTGTTGGGAACCCTTTATTCCATAGTTTCACAGAAGACAGGAAATGTGAGGAGAGGCCAAGGAACAAAGGTCAAAAAACACAGTAGGTGTCAGTATAACCCAGTTACTGTAATTACACTGATTAAGGTTATAATTCAGCTGAATCAGTTGAACTGACACAAGGTCATAAAATGTGGCCTTCATTGTAAATGTTTAACACATTATAAAATGTTTGCTCTCCAGCTGATTTCTCTGTGATTCTCTCTCTCTCTCTCTCTCTCTCTCTCTCTCTGTCTGTTTACCTCTCTCTGACTTAAAAAGTTACAGCCAAACACTGTAACAATGGAGGAGGAGAGAGCCGAGGTAACAATCCCCCAGGGAGCCACAATGAAGTCACACATAAAAGACGGCAGTGAAAGAAAAGCGAGAGGAGAACGAGGCAGCATGTGATCTGTGGAGCGAGAGAGAGGGAGATGTAAATCAATCAGTCAATCGCAGATTTAACAAAAACAGTGAAAGTAAAGGCGAGACAAAGAGCAACGCAAAAAAAGAGAAGTAAAAGACTGTGAATGTAGAGATTAAAATAATTCCTCACTGTTGATAAGATCACTGTTTTGGCATGAGATGATTTTAATGTTCTATTACACCACTGAGCTGACATATCACACACCTCTTCTTTTTATTTCTCATCTTCCTCTCACTGAAAGACAACCCCCCCAAAGTTCCAAATTTAGCCTAAACTACATTCATAATGAAGCTATCTTATTCTCCTCTGAGTATGACTGCTGCAGTTACTTAATGGTCTATTAATAAAGGATGTATACCATCTATAATTCACAGACTCTGCTGTCTCGTGGCTTTACTTCCTGCACCGCTACATTTGCATACGTCTGGGGCAGCTTTAAAAAAAAAAAAAAGAAAGGAAGAAATTCTGAAATGGATCATGGAAACATTTTCTCCTGAATCTTTGGATGCTGCCTGTCTTTCCCTTCTATGGGTCATTTGTGCATCTTCATTAGTAATCAATCTAGTCTGACACAATCATCATGCTCTTTGGAAAATTCTTGTTTTGACAGGCCCAGTGTTTAGTCTTTGTGGTTGGCACAGACGATGTTTGACCTAAATATGAAACTGATAACGAGTTTGCAAAATGTATAAAACGGAGCAGAGAAAGAAGCTTAAGTGAGTTCATCAGATATAAAGTTTCTGATGCATAAATAACAAAACACAAAAAAAAACCTGAAACCGGACTCCACTTTTTCATTTGTCTTCTTCTCTCTTTATCTGTCCTTTGCTCTCTGACTTTTTCTGTCACTTGCATTCACATTCAACCAACTACTGTGTGCCGTAATGCCATCTGTTGATTTTGGCACTGTGGCAGTGGAGAGAGGAGGAAAGGGGGTTGAAGCTGGCATCATTCACGGTCATATCTCTCCAGTCTCTAGTGACATATTGACCTGGACCTTCAGTAGAGGACAGCATCAAAGAGCACAGACAGCTGCGTCTGGACCATTTTACTACTGTATGCTTATTTCATTGGATTAAGAGAATATATCCATTCTTATACGGACTGAAACAAGGATCATAAGGGTTTGGCAACTCAAAATAAAATGTAAAAGCTATCTGGGGCATTTTGATTAGTGTTAAATATTCCAACATCTGATTTATAGTATCATAAGAGCAAGCTGGGGCTACTTACTTATTATCTCCACACAAATCTTAAATGACCATCCTTACTCATAAAAGTACCAATTCCAGCTGTGAAATTACCCTAATACCTGTTATTAATTGTGACGACCCACTCCACCTTGTCGTCTTGTTCCTGGTTGTGTGGCTTGTCTTTCTGTGCAGGTACTTTAAGTGGGCGTGGCAGAGGGTCGTCAGCAAACTGGACACACCTGAGGCCTGTG